ACTATCTGACTTTACCGACGTACATAGTGTTATTCGAGATACTGACGGAGCAAATGACACCCGAACTTGCGTATACGAAGAGCGAAGCAGCAAGTCCGGAGTGGAGGTAGACATTCATTTTTTCATTTTTCCCTATTATTTTTGTTCCTTATTTATTCTTTTGCAGATTCGAAAATCCAATGATGCTCAAGGTAATTGCAAATCTGATCACGCAGTCGACAGAATCGAAGGAACTCATGCGAGTTAAAAAGGCATTCCTTCTCGATATCATCAACATGTGCAGGGATGGCAAGGATAATAGAAGGTATGTTCTCACAATTTTTCCTTTTTTAAGATCAGCCAGCATTTTCTTGTGTAATGGAGATTTTCATGCATGTTTTTTAGGACTATCTTGCAAATGTCTGTATGGCAAGAATGGCTTATCTCGATCTCATATGTGTTCCCTAAAAACGCGGAAGAGGTGAGAATCAAAAGATTATGCTCACCAAGAAGTCCACTTTTGTCTTTAGATGGAGATCAGTGAGCTTGTCTACGAAATGTTCGCCATTCTTTTGCACCACGCAATCCGTTTCGAATATGGAGGATGGCGTGTTTGGGTTGACACTTTGGCTATAGCACATTCGAAGGTGATCTTATCATTTGTATAGTCAGTTTAATGTTTCACTTATTTCAACCTTGCACAGTACTTCTTTGCAATTTTATCACCGTCATTTGGTCATTGTTTGCTTGATCGTGGAATTGCTCTTTTGCAGGTGAGCTGGGAGCGTTTTCGCCGACAACAGCAAAAAGATGTCACAGCCAGTCCAGCCACTACAACAATCACCAAGGAAAGCATAACGGATAAGAAAGATGCGGGAGACAGTACTCAGTGAGTATGAAAAATCCGTCATAACCACATAGTTTCGAAATCCCAAGTTTTGCTTATTTGGATTGTTCAACATGCGCGAAAATGAGATATTTCTTGTGAAGTTACTCTAAAACCATATTGATTACGACTAATTATGGAGACATCGATCACGAGTAGCATAACAATAAAGGGTTTT